TGACTTCAGCTTCCAAGTTATGCTCTTTTCTGTTAGTCTCAAGAGCCATGCAGAAACCTGGTGAAAGCATGCCGTAATCCAGCCATCTCTCAACCTTCTTTTAGACAAAGAAAACAGAGTAACGTCTATATGTATTTCACTACATTTTCTCAGATCTTTGATACTATTTCTGTGGCTCTTTCCTGCATTCTCTCTTACTACTGAGAAACTTTGTTAGCACATGTTGGCCTGAACTATATCCAGCTTTGAAATACTGATCTCATCAGTGCCCTGTCAGAGGTAATATCTCCTCCATATTTCTATCCATGATTCTCCTTATATCACAGCAGTCCTCTTTGTTATAGATCTGCACAGGGAACTCCTATATATAACCACCTACTTCCCGTGCAGCCAATTCTTTCTAGTGCTCAATCCCCCATTATGTAGGTAGCACTACATCATTTCTTCTTAGAAACATAATTATGCATTCAGATGTATGCATTCAGAAGCGCGTTGTGTTCACACAAGGTTCCTCTTCATTAACCGCTCTATCCATCTTCGCAACGTGTCCAACCTTTACCAGTGGTTCCTACAGGTTACGCTTTTAAAAAATGAATAACAGCAAGTCTAGCACAGATGCTATGCAATAACACTAAGTGGACCCGATTATCACACGAATACCCATCGGAAGCTAGTTTTTTAAGAAGTACCAGTCAACTAGATCTTAATCTACCTCACATGTGTTTTAATGAAAATACCAACACTGGCACTTGCACTGTAATATCATGCGGCAGGTCAAATGCCTTTCAAAAATCTGTTGCATCTATGGAGTGACTGAAAAGAACAAAATCTATCATCCTATTGTAATTACCTCAGATCTGTTTGAGAAGAATTACTTTCAATAAAAAATATACAGACTGGCAAGTATTCTTTAATTCTCTATTTTCTTTTTTTCTTTCTTTCAGATATGGAAAATGGATCGATTTGGGCAAAGGGACTGTATAATCCTTGCTTCAGTTATGTTCCTATTGATTTCAGCCTGTTAACAGTTGAGGAAAACTGGGTGAAGACCTCAACACTTGGCTCACCAGTAAGAGAAAAAAGCTGTAGCACTGGCAAAGCTCAAAAAAAAAAAAAAAAAGAGAGAAAGAAAATGGGCTGTGCAGCAAACAGGGTATTCCAGTTCAGATATTTCCTTAAAGAAAACGGTAACAAAAGCCATGTCTTAAACATACACAGGGGATCCTGTCATACATTTGGGTTCCTCAGACTTCCTTCAGATAGCTAACCATTGCTATCTGCAAGAGTTTTTATTAGGACATGAACATTTTTAACATATTGGTTTAGTCTAGTATAAGAGTACATGTGGAAACAAAAGGAAAGGAAAAATAACTCCAGGACAGTCGTTTGACTTGCTGTGCCTTCAGGGTTGGTTTTAGTTATAAGGATTAAAGCCTAGGAACGCTAAAGAAGAGCTCAAAAAGAGAGAGTGCTTAGGAAGGAACAAGACTGATCCATGGGACCATGCTGGATTTTTGGAAGGAAGGTTGGCTGATTGGTAAGGCTCTAGGTGAAGAATATGTCAAGCTGCTACTTAGGGATGTCTCTCAAAGCGCTCTTTGAATTAGGTGGCTTGGTTGCTACACTAATGATCAGCTCTATACTTACACGCTGGGTAAACCAGGATGTGCCCCAAAGCCTGATGTTCCTACTATTTACATCAGTAATTCACTGGAGCATGAGATGCTTTTCATCTCTACCCTGTATGAACAGGCTTTCCTCCTACAGGACACAGGCTCCTGGTAGCAGACTTCTACTCAGGACATGGCTGAGAGAAAGACCTGGAGGAGTAATTCCTATATATCACAGCTAGTCACAGCTACCTGAAGGGCAGAAGTGTCCTTTAGGGCCACTGTGCCTGATCACATATGTATGATCAGACACATATATACGTATGCATGTCTGAGTGCATATATCCACTCAGCATATGTGCCTGACCTCATTCAGATGTCCTGGACAGAGCAAGTCAGTGACTGCCTGAAAAGCAGGCAAATTCCAAACTATGCCCTGAGACAGAGGAAAGCACTGGACTGCACAACTGATGTCTCAGGGTATGCCAACATTAGGCAAAACCATAGTGAGTTACCTGAATTAGGCCAGGGCATTTTTTACCCCACCATGGCAATCACAACATCAGACACGGATCCTCACTCCAGTCCTGCATCAGCATAGCCCAACTGCTGCTTCCTGCTCCAGGGCTAGGCTGTTCTGTGCTAGTTTGAGGGTCAGCAAACGTCCGTACAAGCATGCTCATGACACAGACAAGGAAATCAAACTAAGAAAGTGGTACTGTGACTGTGATTCTGTAACTGTGACCCATCACTAATTTTTGCATTTTTGCTGTTCACGAGATTCTCCTCTAAATTACAACTGTTCTGTAGTGCTGCAGAGAGAAATCTGTGCCAATGCCATCTGCCCTAAGGACCAAGACAGTTCACTACCTCACTAAAAAGGGGCAAATTGGCAAACCCCGTAATACAGGATACAAACGTTAGCTTGTTTTTAATGTATTTTAATTGGAATGGAAATCGTTCACCAATTAATTAAGTGAATAAACCCAGCTCTTCAGAGTCCTAAATTAAAATATTTAATTGAAAAGCTGGTCTTCCGCGTTTGTGAGAAACGAACGTTAAAACAGGATGAAAACCATCTTTTGCAATTTTTAAGGCAACTGTTCTAAACGAGGGACAGATGATGAAACACACCAGACATACTCAGTTTAGATCACAGTAAAGCATTTGTTACACTGTCACACAAGAAATCAGTGGATAAATCAAGAAGACAGCGATGAGCAGCAAGGCGATATCCATTTTTAATCCTCGTTATAATGCAGGAGGGTCACTAGAAATAAGAATAAATCATCTTGAATCACGCAGCAAGGTCTCACAAGGGTTAGCACAACGAGTGAGTCTGAATGAAGGACGTGCGCCACACACACTCGCTGAGTGAGCTACTCAGCGAGGCAGGAATTCGTCTCTCCAGACACCGGTAGTCCCGCAGGGCCAGATTTTCCAAAGTGCTTTGGATATCTAATGGTGCAAACGAGGACAAAGCACAATCTCTTAAAATTGCCCAAGCTCTTCCAAAGACCATTGCAGCCCACCTAACTCACGCCACTGCTTTGAGAAGGCCTGGAGAACACCTCTCTCCAGTGGCAATGCAGGGCACCTTGGGAGACTAGCTTTTGCATTCAAACTCCTTTGTTTGGTGTCTAAAGTTGTGTGGTGTGGACCCCCTGTCCCCACAGCTTCAAGGGATTTTCAGTATCTAACCCACTAAAACTCCTGCTGGCCCACCTGTACTACACAATATATAGTGGCTTTGCGAATCTGGCCGTATGTCCCTAATATCCTCACTCTCTGAAGAGGGCAGGCTTGCCTGCTCGTCTGTCCGCCCTCGGCACGCGGGCAGGTGCCAGCTGCTCTAGCCGCAAGGTTGATATTGTACACTTGACTTCATGCTTCCTTTGCAATCTTTGTCTCACATATTCATTTTCGTACGGTTTTATGATACCGAACGAGGGAATGGCTCAGGTTGGAAGGGGACCTCTGGAGATGGTCTAGTCCAACCCCACAACTCAAACAAGGGTCAACTAGAGTCGGTTTACTCATGACCGCATCCAGCTGGGTTTTGAGTATCTCCAAGGATGGAGACGCCGCAACCTCTCTGGGCAACCAACCTGTGCCAGGGTTTGACCGCCCTCACCATAAGGATACTTTTCACTTAACCTGCTCTTAGAAGGAGGCTCTGCTCCTTCTAAACAGGAAAAAAGGCCAGCCCTTCGCATCTGGTAGCCGCATGACCAGCAAGGGATACACTGGGCTCCCCTCTCACATCACTAAAATCTTTTTAATCTACAATGTCATCTGCGAGCGGCTCCTGCCGAGGTGCACCGCTCCCCGCGG